TACTGTGTAATCGGATAAATATTTTTCACTGACATGTTACGTGCTTTATGTAATATCTCAATGACATATTGCATTAATAATATGGCATATTATATGCTAAGTTCATTTTTTCTGAATTATTAGTTTGACCTATCCTATACAACAGAGTAAAGTACAGCATTACCACAACAGCCCATTGTAGGGCAGGGGGATCATGGAGGAAAACTCTACAATTTCGCGACCAACGACAAGATTGTGGCAATGTGGTCAGCACTGCGCACAGTCTTTACTTCCCAGACTGGATGGTACCCATCAATCTGAAGCTGGGTGGGCATCAAGCCGCCTCTGGGGAGCGAACCCCAGTTCCTCACAATGACAGTTCAGTGCCTTAACCACTCATATAACAGAGTGATACTTCGAGAACATAGACGCGGACTCGGAAAGATGAGAAGATAAGAAGGATGAGAAAATACTCCAAAATATTATAAAAATTAAGCAAAATGATTAAATTTGGTATGGAAGAACCAATTCATAACTGTATAAGAACTATGAAGAACCAATGTTGTGACATTTATTAAAGTACAAAGATTAAAGTGAGTAGAACACCTTGTCAGAATAGAAGTAAACAGAAATGTCAAAAAAGTTTACAAGGCCAAACCATATAGTGCACGTGCTAGAAGACCAAAATTACAATAAATTGATGGTCTTGAACAAATACTTAACTTTAACCTTAAAATACTTAACCCTTTAACTCGGAATTTTTATTAAACATATTTTTCATACTATTTTTGTTAATTTGTGTTTAGGTCAAAATAAATGAAAATTTTTACATTTAGAATTTTAATAGTTTATGGTTATGAAAGACAGTATGAAACCGGTAACTTTTTCTGCGTTGAAAGTAAAATCCTCCAAACAATATTTTTTTCATTTGCACTTGTTTGCAATTTTTTAAATTTAAGGGAAACAGTTATTCATCATTGAAATTTCTTTAATTCGCAAAATCAATAATTGATAAATTTTTGAATCTGAATGAAAAAACAAATTTTAAAACCACTTTTTTGGGATTTTATATTTTATATAGTACAAATATAACTCCGATAATCTAAGAGAATTTTAGTAACTATTAGACTGTTTTTTTTTAAATTAAAAAATACTTAATTATATTTTTGATTGTAATTAAAGCGTCAGAAAAAAAAAATGTAAAAAAGGTCACCGGTGTACCATCGGCGTCGAAGGATTAAAATTAAAAATAGAAAAACTAGGTCATCAGATAGGTCAAAATAGAAATCTGTTTTAAAGAAGGCCATGATCCAGCCAGGATGACCCACCATTGAAAAAGAAGAATATAAGTTAAAAAATAAGATTCAAACTTTAAGAGATTCATTTTTCCATATTTACAAAAAATACATATAGTTTTCCAAAAATATTACGATATAATATCTTGAACACATAAAATTTAAATCCTTTTATTTTTATGAATATATTGATTTCCGACAGACTTCATAAGTATGGAATATTTCTGTGAGACATTTCTTTACACCCAAATAAACTTGTTCGCTGACTTATAACTTAATAAAGAATACTATTTGAACTGGGAAAATGTGGGCCTCATTTATCTGATATCCCCTGAGGGTTTTCTGTTCCAGCGCAGATGATATTTTCGATCCCGATCTTATATCTTCATTTTTAGTGTAGTCGTCCTTTAAAATACCGTTACTTTAAAAACTAATTTCTTTATTTTAAGTTGACAATATCAATCGTTTTTTATCTCGTGTGGAGTAAGCACATCCAGCTCTTCTGCCTTTAAACCTTAAACAAGGAAACTATCAAACAACTCAAAATTTCGTTCCTTCAAATAATTTTTAAAATTAAAATCAAATTTTCAACTAGGAAAATAAACGCTTAATATAAAAAAAACGACATACAAACTCTTGAACTGTAAAAATTCCGGATCAAATCACGGTAAAAACCGCAAAATCCTTTTATAAAGAAGCATGTTACGGTACAAAAAATCTACCGTAATTTTTACTGTAATAATTACCGTAAAATCGTTAATCATTCTAATTAAATAAATATTACTGTAAAATTTCGGTGTAATATTTTAAGATAAAAGTGGATTTTACGGATGATACACCTAAAGTGCCAGTACTTCATACCATAATTTGATCCAGAATTTTCAACAGTGTAGAAGATACTACGATTTTGATTCAAGGGAAACTGGAATACATTAAGCTTTATATAATCCTAGGCAGTAATAAGAATATGTTAAAAGTTGTAATGCTCATCCATAACTATAAATGAGTATTGTGAGGTTTATAGAACTATAAAAGGTCCCACAGTCAATTTCATATGTATAGAATATTTTTTCAAATCAATGGGCCATCGGACATTAATTGTTATGTTAAAAAAAGATTATTTTCAAAGTTTCAAGTATTTATGCAGCTGTTAACATGGTAAACAATAGTTTCGAAATATGTTGAATACAGTAGTCATGAAATTAAGTAAAATTTCGATTAAACTTCATTTTAATACTAAAAAAATAAGTTTTTCTATACATGCAGCATTAAAGTATATAGTCTAAAGTTTAATTTGCACAAAGAAAGAAGTCTGTCTATATGTGAAAAATTGTTCGAGTAATTATAAATTTACAAAAAAATTGGATTTCGGGTAGCCCCGCTCGCATGAATGTCGGGTATCAACGACCAATTTCATTTCGTCGATAAATGTACGGTTGCAAAGATTATTATTTTATTGCTTCAAATTTGAATGCTATATGCATTTTTAACAACAAATATTGTTGTTATTAAATGATTGTTATCAAATGATAGAATTCACTAAAAGTATATAAATATGTAATAAATAAAATAATTTTGTGATAAAAATGATAAATGAGGTTTATCTATTGTCAATACAATGGTCACTTTCATTTATACCTGAAAAAACAGTCAAAAAACATAATTTTTGTAACTGGGCGGGGGTGCCCGACACATTTTGAAAAGAGCTGAAAAACATGTTTTTTTTTAATTTCTATTTTTTTAAGTTAAACTATTCTTTTTCGGTTTATTCTTTTTGCATTATTTAATTAGATGGTAAAACAATAGAAACATACAAAAATATTGATTATTACTCAATATTATACAGAAATATAAGCAATACTCCTTAAGTGGGCGGGGCTACCCGACTCTCCCCTATATAATTTCACAGAACAAAAAACTATAGTGCCGTAATTTTTTCAATAATATTTTCTTTAAATTCAGCGAATCACTATATTTAAATAAATATTACTGTAAAAATTACTGTATAATATTTCACGATAAACATAGATTTTACGGTAAAATGGATTCTACGGAGAATGCACCCAGAATGCCGGTACTTTATACCATAATTTGACAGGACTGTTTCACAGTGCAGTCATACAAGCAGAAAGAAAGAAAATCAGAACAAGCATATATCTTGACCAGGATAAAATCATTGTCATTCTAAGCTGATCCATCTCAAATGTCAAAATAAAAAATATATATTGTTGGCAACTTCCTTTGTATTGGAAAATGTCACGTTTCTTGCTGTTGAAAAACATAATACGAAATGACACCATAAGTTTGTTTTGTTCTAGACTAGCTCTTGTATCTCAAGTGGCTTATAATTTTATCCTGTCTTTCATTTTTTGAAAAAAACTAAATGACATATATAGATCATTGCACAAGTTTTAATAGTTTTATTCGAAGCACGGCTGTCGAGGTTGATATCACATGACTTTGCAGAAAAATTTTAAGATGAGCAAAAAAATATATTTTATTCGATTTTTTTTTTCATTCTATTGCGAAATGTTTTTACTCATATGTTTTGGAAAAATACAAGGAAAGTGAACAAGCCGATTAAGCGATAAAATGAAATAAAAAATTTTAAGAAATTCTTGTTGCGTGATCATCTCAAAAAACCACGAAAGTGGACTGAAAACTACGAAGATATAGTAATGAATTAGTTTCAGAAGAAAAACTTCTTATCAACAACAACGTCATCAATATTAAATTATTTAACTCTATCAATAACAGTGTTGGGAATCAAAAGCAGACATTTTAAAAAATATGAAAATGCTTATTAATCGTGATTTTTTATTTAAACCAGTTAAGTGAATTTGTTTAAACAATCTTTAAAAAAACATTTTCGTATTCTATGTTTAAAAGTACAGTGTTATTCATAATTCTCTCCGGTGTTTCGAAGCGTTATAGTAAAAAAAATAGGACGAATATGGCAAAAAAAAAACATATGAAGTTATTCCGAAAGTATTTAAGTTTCAATTTAAGCAGTTGCCGGTAGATGGCAGTAACATGCACCACTGAAGCCAATTGTAGTAAAGAAAAATGGCGTTTACAGGTAGAGGGAATTATGAATAACCCTGTAGTTTAATGAATAGTATTTTTTAAATTCAGATATTGTTTAAATATATAAATAGATAGAATACTATTAGAAATAGATAAAAAGAATAAAATATTACAATGCTGTGTCATTTGGGCTTGATCAATAAAAGAATGATTCAAGATACTTATAATTCGAGTTTAGAAAGTGCAATTATTTGAGCTGGTTATTAAGAATCAGTTCAAATAATAATAATTGTAGAAAATTTTTATCAATAACTGAACTAAAAATATTGTACATTTGTAATTTTTTAATAACACTTGTTCAAAGTAGTAACAAATCTTTGTTTAAAATATCAATCATTTCTTCTGGTTATAAGAATTTTGTTTCACCAATAACATTCGAGTAGACTGTTTTGTCAATAATTATGTTCACAATATTGCAGTTTTCAACTTTATTCAGGTCTTTTTTAACATCAAAACATCTTTTGACAAATAAAATTGATAAAAAATAAATAATCAGCTAATTTTAAATAATTTCTTTAATTGAGATGTCTAATAAAAAAATAAATGAGGTATTTAAACAAATTTTAAAAATTATAATAATTAAGAACTTTTAACTGAGCTATTAAACTATAAAAGCCTTAATGAACGTTTTTATTTTAGGTAGCTTCACCTACAGATCTTCTCCATGCAGTTATAGCACTGTATAATAGATGTCTACCAGATGTCACAGTTCAATCATTGTACAGAACAGTATGCGCAGAAGGAACAAAAACGCTCCTGCTTCTGCGCGACACATCAGGTAACTTTTTCTTTATTCTTTCTCTTTCAGTGGGTTATCTCTCGATTATTGTGATGCAATAATATAACAAAGTGTATAGGTGTTAAATATGGCTCAAAAATACAGCCTACAGCGTTTATCGTTATCTAAAGTCATTAAACAGAATAAGCAAACTATTACCGATTTTAAAAGTTAGATTTAAATTAGTGTTTTTTAATTGATGCTCAGGAATTTTTGTGATAAAATTTTGTAATTTGATAAGTATATTTCTGTTAATTTAAATTTTCAAATGAACATTACAAATTAATCAAAGTGTTACTTCATTACAAACATATTTTTTTAATTATTTACATTATTATAAAAATTCCACGGGTGCATTGCCTATCTTTACTTTAAAAAATTGTCGAGAAAAAAGAAAATTAGAAAAGATCTTACTCCTTGCAAAGTTTGAATCTAGACTATACCTACCCATTTAACATGTTTTTAGAAGCTCATTCCCAAAGGAAAAAAGGCCTTAATTTAAGTGTCTTACACTTAAAGCAAATATATTTTTTTAAACTTTATATGCCATCTTTCCGTAAAAAATATTATATGTGCTTTACAACGGACAAATAACTGAAATATTTGAAATGCTATCAAACTTTTTAAAAATTGCCAATTCGGCGACATTTTTTAAAACCTGGATGAAAATTGTCTACCTTATTCTCATTTTTTGCAATTTTTAAAGAACCCAGATAATGCTCCGTTTGAGTAAATTTTTAAATACTAAAACATAGACCACAAATGCTTTTCAGTTTCTCAAAACTGTGGCTTTTCTCTATATTGAAGTTTTGAGCTATTTTCAGAATAAGGATGAAGGGTGCTGGCTAAAGATCGGCTAAACTTGATCTAACAGTCGCCAGCAACTGCTGCAAACTCACATCAGTTATGAAAATAGCATATTATTTGCAAAAAAGCATTATTTCATGTGACTACAGAACCTTAGAAACACTTAAATGCTTGGCTTTGACGGATTAAAACAATTGATAACTTTTGATAAGCAACATTTAATGTCTTTTTTTAAATTCTGTTTAAATTATATTTTTAAAAAATTTTTGTTTTTTCAATTTGATGAGGTTTCTACATGTGTATTTGAAATCTATAACTTAGATAAATGATACATTTGCCAACTTAAAAATAAAAAATTCAGTTGAGTAAATTTTCATATTAAATGCACTTTTTTATTTTTTTGAATAATTTCATAACTATAGTCTAGTTGTTTTACTATCAAAATATAAATTTAAATTGATGTGAACAATTTTGCAAATAATATTACTATTTCTGATTTCAGTGAACAAATTTTAAAAAATTAAAAACTTGAATGATATATATTTTCTTTTTTTTTCTCTAAACTTGGTAGATTTATTCACATGCATTATAATCCAGAAAAGCATGTCTGAAAAAAAACACTGAGGATTAAAATGACTCGCAAGTTATTTAAATTAATGAATTTATATTAAAAAGAATTTTATCATTATTTCCTTATGTTGTAATAAATGCATTCTATAATAAAATAGCAAATTTATAGAATAAAGTTTTGTGCATATCATATTTGATTTATTTTTATGTATAAATTTTATAGATTCTAGTTACTTCAAGCTTTAAATTCGTAGTTGAAATTAATAGCTTTGAGTGATAAAATAACTTAAAATAACTGAAAAACAAATTTATTTGTTAAATTTTTGGCACTGAAATATTTCCTGTCGAACATTTTATCTATTGTAGCACTCTAATTATTCCAATTTCCAAATGCGTGTTAAAATTAATAACTTTAGACATTTATTTAAATATTTCCATTTTATTATGCAACTGCTAGTGAATAACCAAAGCAAATTTCTGTTTAGATGAATTCCATTAACGCTGAAGCTTTAAATTATTCAATGTCATTCCAATATTATTCTTACTAAATTCAAAAATAGAATGAATTTATGGCCTTTTATAGGATTAAAAGAAGAATTAAATGGGGGTTTTTATCTGAATCATTAACATTTGCAATTAGATTTGATTAAAATGTCGATTCTTTATTTTCTAACATCATTCTTTCATTTGTACAATCACAAAAGAGGCTATTTGTCAAAAATGAAGATAAGCTTTAAAACTAATGATGTTAAAATGATAGGTAAGGTCACAAAGCTCGAACAAGCGTAGATAAGTTTCGAATTGTTTAACTTCAAATTATATTAATTCAATTATTTTTGTATTAAATGAGGAAGTTGTTAGAAAACATAAATGTCAAACATGCTTTAAAAACTTAATTGCCTTTTTAAAGGCATTAGTTTAAGCGATTATTATTAAATGGAAAATAATGTGTCAAGAAATTAAAATAAATGCATTAAATAATTAAAATTTTCACTATATTGATGGTATCAATCAAGCTTAAATTTACGAGCGTGTCTCACGAAGAATTAATTTTGTTTTCAACAATACTAACCATTCGCAAACATTGTTTCAACAATATTAACCAGTTTTTATAACTCATATGTATATTCAATCATTTTCAATAAAGATAAGAAAGCTTTATATCGACCATTTTGCAGAATATTTGCAATATTATACCAAAAGCAATTTCTTTAATTTGGAATTATAAATACCTACAAGATCTTTTTGTTAAGGATATTTCCGTGTCGGTATCTGTTCGTGCTAATTACTGTCGCCAATGCCAAAGGATTTTAAACTTGCAAAAAGTTTTTAAAAAAAAATTTCTGAGATTTGTCCTGAGTACACTGAGTAAAAAATTATGATCAAAACTACCAGAATATGGTAAAATTGACCGTATTTCAGGTTCTATAGGAACACCTAAAAGCACGGCAATTTTTACCTAAGTGCCTTGGTAATAATTTTGGTAAAATTAACTATAAAATGTGGTTTTTAATATGTGATAAAATTAGTAAATGTGGTAAAATTATGTAATTTTATTGTGATACCTTGGAGCCTGGCATAAAAACCATTTATTCAGGTGAATTTGCTTTTTAGTTTTGTTTTTCTTTCTCTTTTTTTCTTGCTAAATGCATGGAAATAAGAACTGCAATTTTAAATCCAGAATCGCACAAAATTGAAAAAATTTATTATTTTAAATTTTTATTGAGCAATCTGATAATCGAAACAAAATTGGTTATTTTCAGTTTTAATTGAACATTCTGTTAAGCGAAACAAACTTGATTGCATAGCAATCAACTCGCTTAGCAAGTGAAATGAGCAACAGCCCCATATTTAAAAAAAAATTATAATAATAATAATGAACTTTTATGCATTAAAATTCATTCTAGCAAATGCTTTATGTGTGTCATCAGATTGACTTAACACTATAAGACAAACTATAATTTTTAAAAAAAAACACTATTATAACCACTAATTACTATTCTCCTTAAGTTAAAAAATTTTTCGAAGGATTATTTCTAAAACCTCTGAAGTGGCAGTAGAAGTTTAAAAGAAATGGCACTGCATATAATCTTGTTATCAAACAAAACTTTTTTTATAAATTTTGTGAATTAGAATTCGATCATTTTTTAAGCTGCTTGAATAATCTATACTAAGTTATTCTCAAACAGTTTTTTTATGCTACTTAACTAGAAGAGAAAGACTTGTCTTGTCTGAGTTAGTTTTCTTTTTATAATTTTTTAACTGTTTTTAAATTTTTATAGAAACAGCCAGAACACTACTGAGAAAAAAATTCGGATAAAACTATCGTCCCATAAAATAATAACATTTCTTGCAAAAAAAAACCTTTTTTTGAATAATAAAAAGAAAGTATTCTATATAAAGTCAATCATTTGGTAATTTTTCCGTTCATATGGTAATGGTTTACCGGAAATTCTGGTTTTCAAAATTATAATTCTTATCACCACTCATTTAATAAAAAATAATAAACTGAAAAATAAATTTAACCGAATAAGTTTTTAGGTCATGCTCTAAGGTAAAATATGGTTAGGGATTAAATCATAATAAAATTACTTAATTTCACCACATTTACCAAATTTCATCACAGATTATAAAACCATATTTTATTGTTAATTTCACCAAAATCATTACCAAAACGCTTCAGTAAAAATTACTGAACTGCTTTTGTATTCACATAGAGCCAGAAATACGATAAATTTTACCATATTCTAATAGTTTTGATCATACTTTTTTCTCAGGGTACAATTTTTATTAAGCACAGTTTTTATTAATGATAATAACGAATTAATAACAAAAATGAGCTCATTTTACAAATTCTTTTGAAGAACATTTGTCACTGGTGTACCAGAAATAGAGCCGTTTACCTTGACTGTCTGAAGCTGCTTCTTCTAACATGACCAATCCAATGTAGCCGACCGGCCTGTTTGTCAGGGAACTGGCCTTGCATTAGAAAGGTTCCGGGTTAGAATACCGCGCAAGGCACGGATGTTCTTTCATTCGCTGTACTATCTGTCCTTACTGTGGGAGCAACGTTGGCCCCTTAATATGGTGCCCTTGAAAGTGTAGCCAACAAATCTGCCCTTCTGATGCCTGCATGATGAAGGGTCATTCGCCAGGTGGGCATTGTAAAAAAAATATTCATCTGTTTACCTCTACACTATTCAACCACTTTTCCTGGGGTATTGTTGTTCATATCTATAAGCATGACTAAATCATCTCATCTACTTAATTTCAATTACCTTAACTATATTTGGTTCTCTAAATTTACTGTATAGTTCGAAGTTTTATCTTATTCTGTATATTTATTCTGTTTATCTACACCATAAATTTCTCTTAAGATCTTTCGTTAGCAAATAAGTAAACAATTTTCTTCTATTTTACTCATAGTTCAGCTATCGTTTTCATATAATATTAAAGATCTTAGATCTTACTAAGGTCTCCAATAGTTGTACTCAAATATTTCGATTTCCTCTCAAATATTTCGATTTGAACGGTCCTCTCAATCAAAAGTAGCAATTGTCTGTTTGAAATGCAAATAAATTTTTGATGAGTATTTTAGAATTATCTGGATGATATCCGTCATG